TTTATTATTAGCATATTTCTGAAAGTCAGCCTGACCCTAATAAAGTATCTAAAACCATAAAGCACATTTGACACCTAGTGAAATTTAAAGAACACCAAGTTTCTGGCAAATTAAAAAAAAACATTCAGTGGGAAGGCCATTTCTAAGAGCTCCCCCCCCCCCCCGGAGCTGTCATCTGATTTTTCATTAGTTTGTTCTGAAGGAGCCTAATTTACTGATCTTTAAAACCACCTTGGGACAGATTTGGACCTTAGCGCAATCCATTAAACAACCTTCTAATAAGTTCTACGCATTTCATAAAGCTTGTTATTAACATTTCTTTGTCATGCTCTAGAGAATATGTTTAATTTAGGCAAACAGGGAAATCCAGTTAGTTAAGACAGCCTACATATTTCCTATTACTTGGATATTTACTTGGGCTTCAATTATTTGCTGCTTTAACCCGGCATCTTTGCACACTGAATTGAAACTTGCTTACATATGGGCTTAGCATGGTGCCTGGTCCATTAATGGGGCACTGCCCCATCAACCTCAGTCTGCCCTCTGCCTAAATGCCTGCATTCTTATTTACAACTAGTCCAGAGAGTGCCCACCATCTTTCTCCTTCTTAGTCTTAGTGTTCTCCTTGCAGAAGCCAGAAGAGGAGGAGGAGGGTGGAGACAAAAAATGAACTATTGGGTTCTGCCGCTCATTGACTCAGAATCTACCAGTCATTTGTTTCTGACCCCAATTCAACGTGTTGGTGCTGACCTTTAAAGCCCTAAATGGTCTCGGTCCAGTATACCTGAAGGAGAGTCTCCACCCCCATCGTTCTGCCCAGCGCCGAGGGCCTTCTGGCGGTTCCCTCCCTGAGAAAAGCCATGTTACAGGGAACCAAGCAGAGGGCTTTCTTGGTGGTGGCACCCACCCTGTGGAACGCCCTCCCACTAGATGTCAAAAAGAACAACAACTACAGTGATACCTCGGGTTACAGACACTTCAGGTTACAGACACTTCAGGTTAAAGACTCCACTAACCCAGAAATAGTACATTGGGTTAGGAACTTTGCTTCAGGATGAGAACAGAAATCGTGTGGCGGCACGGCAGCAGCAGGAGGCCCCATTAGCTAAAGTGGTGCTTCAGGTTAAGAACAGTTTCAGGTTAAGTATGGACCTCCGGAACAAATTAAGTTCTTAACCCCAGGTACCACTGTACCAGACTTTTAGAAGACATCTGAAGGCAGCCCTGTTTAGGGAAGCTTTTAATGTTTGATGGATTACTATATTTTAATATTTTGTTGGAAGCTGCCCAGAGTGGCTGGGGAAACCCAGCCAGATGGGTGGGGTATAAATAATACATTATTATTATTATTATTATTATTATTATTATTTTATAGGTCAACGTACTGTTGGCCTCCCTGCTTTGTATCCAACTGACCCCAGCGATCACCAGTCTACACTGCGCACTTACAACATTTTGATGCTCTCTAGCTTGGTTCATAACAAGTCAAGAACAATGACCACAAATGGCAAAGACAGATAAGCAGTGAAAGCGGAAGCAATTTTTTTAAAAAAAGACGCTCCAGACCTTAACAACTAGATCTGAGTTTGTTGAAGCTGCTTGACGCAGCAATCGAATCAACCACTAAAAGCCTCAGAGAACAAAACAACCTTCACTTGGCATGATCTCATCTACATTTCTGGGTATAGACTTTGCTACCAATGTGTCAGCTAAGAGCTCTTGCATTATCATGGCAGCAGATCTGCACCACAAATTTAATTTTTAATTAGCATTCCTTCCCCTGGTGTGGGGTATATAGAGAGCTGTTGGTGAGATGTGGCAGGAAGCACTTGGAACTGCTGCCAAGAGCATTGGCCAGCACATTATAGGTCAAAACCAGCACTTTGAATTGGGCCCAGAAACTACCATATTTTCTGTGTATATTCCCCCCCCCCCATTTTTTCACATTTAAAATTGGGGGCCGTCTTATACATGGATAGTGCATATGGGGTTTTTCTTTATTTGGAGTCCCCCAAAATAGGGGTCGTGTTATACACGGGGAGCGTGTTATACACACAAAAATACGGTAATTGGCAGCCTCTGCAGTTGGACCAGGATTGGTATAATATGCTCAAACCATCTTGCCCCAGTGAGCAACCTGGCCACCAAATTCTGTGCCAGCTGAAGCTATGGTTTTCCTAGTAGTGATGTACGGAAGTGAGAGCTGGACCATAAAGAAGGCTGATTGCCGAAGAATTGATGCTTTTGAATTATGGTGCTGGAGGAGACTCTTGAGAGTCCCGTGGACTGTAAGAATATCCAACCTATCCATTCTGAAGGAAATCAGCCCTGAGCGCTCACTGGAAGGAAAGATCCTGAAGCTGAGGCTCCAATACTTTGGCCACCTCATGAGAAGACTCCCTGGAAAAGACCCTGATGTTGGGAAAGATGGAGGGCACAAGGAGAAGGGGACGACAGAGGACAAGATGACTGGACAGTGTTCTAGAAGCTACGAACATGAGTTTGACCACAGTACGGGAGGCAGTGGAAGACAGGAGTGCCTGGCGTGCTCTGGTCCATGCGGTCACAGAGTTGGACACGACTAAACAACAACAACCTAGAGGTTACCGGAACTATCCCTGTCCAGATAGCAGTGCAGCTGGGACACTAGCCAAAGCTGATGGAAGGTACTCCTTACCACTGAGGCCCCCTGAGCCTTGAGTGACACCCAGTGATCTGACTTGGTATAAGGAAACTTCCTACCCTCCATGAATTTGCTTGATCTTCTTTTAAAGCTGTCCAAATGGGGAGCCATCACCACCCATAGTTTATTTATGCACTATGAATCATCAGCTTCATTGGACATTCAGAAGTTCTAGTATTATGTGAGAAGGAGAAAAACTCAGGGACAAAGTCCAGGACCTCACATGGAGAGTGGCAGATGGTGGGGCCAGTGGCAAAAAGGCACTGTTTTTGAGTCCTGGGGCATCTGGGCTCTATAGGGCTGATGCTGATCTTGAAGCATTTGCTCTCCTTATTTATCTCTCTTTGCAACTTTCTCCTTATCTTTCTCCTTATTTTTAGAAACAGTCGGCTTGCAGCTGACTGGGAATATCCATGGTTACAGATGCTCACATTATTGTTTTTACCTTACATGTATATTACCCTTTTCTTCGTCAAAACCATTATTTTTTCCTAAGCAAAGATACTTTGCACGAAGGTAGCAAAACCAACCTCCTGGTTTATTCCTGTAGTAGTGGCGGTGCTATGCTTTCCTATTTGAAATAGGGGGTAGGGATCATTTTTCATTCCAAGGGCCAAATTCCCTTCTGCACAAACTCCTGGGGGCCACACAGAAGCAAAAGTGGGCAAAGCAATGAATGTAAATCTTTGTACCGGAGGCTAGTTTCTACACACACACCTCTCTATCTTCCATCCAGATAAGGGAGAGACATTATCAGTGTTCAAATACGCGTTTCAGCCAGGAAAGCCCCCCATGAGAGTTCAAACAGGGCTAGTGATTCCATTGGTTGTTGTTTAGTTGTTTAGTTGTATCCGACTCTTCGTGACTCCATGGACCAGAGCACACCAGGCCCTCCTGTCTTCCACTGTCTCCCGCAGTTTGGTCAAACTCATGCTGGTAGCTTCTAGAACACTGTCCAGCCATCTTGTCCTCTGTCGTCCCCTTCTCCTGGTGCCCTCCATCTTTCCCAACATCAGGGTCTTTTCCAGGGAGTCTTCTCTTCTCATGAGGTGGCCAAAGTATTGGAGCCTCAGCTTCAGGATCTGTCCTTCCAGTGAGCACTCAGGGCTGATTTCCTTCAGAATGGAGAGGTTGGATCTTCTTGCAGTCCATGGGACTCTCAAGAGTCTCCTCCAGCACCATCATTCAAAAGCATCCATTCTTCGGCAATCAGCCTTCTTTATGGTCCAGCTCTCACTTCCATACATCACTACTGGGAAAACCATAGCTTGAACTATATGGGCCTTTGCTGGCAAGGTGATGTCTCTGCTTTTTAAGGAAGAGACATTATCAATGTTCAAATATGCATTTCAGCCAGGAAAGCCCCCCCACCATGAGAGTTCAAACAGGGCTAGTGAATCCATAGAAACACAGAATTGTAATGTTGGAAAGGACCCTGAGGGTCACCTAGCTCAACCCCCTGTGATGCAGGAATATGCAGCTATCCCATACAGCAGGCACAACCAACAGGTAGATTGTGACCTACTGGTAGATCCTGGGGTGTCCTTTGTAGATCCTGGCAGATCTCTAGCCCCTCTGTGATCTCCTTCCCACCCACCCCCAAAAAGCTCAACAACCTTGGCTTCCTAAAGAAAGCTCAACAACTTTGGTCCATCCAATGGCAATGGGTAGTTCACTGCCAGTTTTTTTTATATATACTGTGAGTACCGTACAGTGGTGCCTCGCAAGACGAAATTAATCCGTTCCACGAGTCTCTTCGTCTTGCGGTTTTTTCATCTTGCGAAGCACGGCTATTAGCAGCTTAGTGGCTTAGCGGCTATTAACGGCTTAGCGGCTTTAAGAAAAAGGAAACAAACTCGCAAGAACTCACAAGACGTTTCGTCTTGCGAAGCAAGCCCATAGGGAAATTCGTCTTGCGGAACGACTCAAAAAACGGAAAACTCTTTCGTCTTGCGCGTTTTTCGTCTTGCGAGGCATTCGTCTTGCGAGGTACCACTGTATTTTTTTGCTCGATAAGATGCACCAGACCATAAAACGCACCTAGTTTTTGGAGGAGGAAAACAACCCCCCAAAAAATTCTGAATCCCAGAAGCCAGAACAGCCAGAGGGATCGCTGCGCAGCAATCCCTCTTGCTATTCTGGCTTCAGCGATAGCTGCGCAGCCTGCATTCGCTCCATAAGACGCACACACATTTCCCCTTACTTTTTAGGAGGGAAAAGGTGCGTCTTATAGAGCGACAAATATGGTAGATTGCGGTCTGTTGGGAGTTGGACGTCCCTGCTATAGGTAACTGATCAGAAATCTATGTCTGACAGGAGGGCCATACAGGAATCGAATCTGCAACCTAGGCGTCATCAGCACCATGCTCTATCCAACTGAGTTATCCAGGCCCGTGATTCGGCGTGATTCGCCCCCCCCCATTTTAAACCCTTGATCTGGACAAATCATTTGGCAGCCGCCACATTTTATCTCATCATTTTGCTGGGAAAACCACGGGTCCCCCACGTATCTGCTTCAAAAACAAAGGTCAGAGGCTTTGCCACTTGAGCCTTGCTAATTGAATCTTGGCACTCGGTACACTCTAAGCCGCTGTTTTAACCATTTCCATTAGGAAATTGCACATAACCCAGCGTTCCAAATGACATCTCCCAATCCACGCTGCAAGCTGAGGACAAAAGGGCCACCAACCGATTCGGCGTAGCTTGCTAATCAAGCTTCTGTTATAAACAAAGCAGAGCCCCGCTGTCCACTTCAGTACCTTGGAGAGCAGCCAGCCAACAGGCAGGATGACTTAGCAGGGAGCACGCTCCATGTGCAATGACTGGAGCTTGCCTTGTTATGCAGACTCGCATGCCATACTTCCCCAATAATTTTGAAGCTGGTAGAATCATAGAACTGTAGAGTTGGAAGAGACCACCAGGGTCATCTGGTGCACCCCTTGCAATGCATGAATCCTTTCCCAACATGGGGATCAAACCCACAACCCTGAGATTAAAAGTCTCATGTTCTACTGTTTGGAGGTGGCAGGCTGCATGTACCATTTCAGGCTGCAAGTGTGCAGTGTTATGTCCGAATGCTCCCCCTGCCCACTTAAAAAGTTCCTTCAGTCTGGAATCACTGCCACAGACAAGGCAGCCACAAAACATTTCACTACCTGAGGCAAAGGACAGATGGGCACAGGCAGTGGACTCTTGTATAGTGCCGGTAGTGCAATAGCAAGGGACACAGGTGGCGCTGTGGTCTAAACCACTGAGCCTCTTGGGCTTGCCGATCGGAAGGTTGGCGGTTTGAATCCCCGCAACAGGGTGAGCTGCCGTTGCTCTGTCCCAGCTCCTGCCAACCTAGCAGTTTGAAAGCACACCAGTGCAAGTAGATAGATAGGTACCGCTGTGGCAGGAAGGTAAAATGGCATTTCCATGCGCTCTGGTTTCTGTCACAGTGTTCCGTTGCGCCAGAAGCAGTTTAGTCCTGCTGGCCACATGACCTAGAAAGCTGTCTGTGGACAAACGCCGGCTCCCTCGGCCTGAAAGGGAGATGAGCGCTGCAAGCCTTTGACTGGACTTAACTGCCCAGGGGTCCTTTCCCTTTCACCTTAATGCAGGGGTGCCCAAACTTTTTTCAAAGAGAGTCAAATTTGATGAAGTGAACATGCATGAGGGCTGACCAAAGTTGTTGAGCCTTTTGAAGGATTTTACCCCAGGACATATAAATAATAATAATAATAATAATAATAATAATAATAATAATAATTTTTATTTATATCCCACCCTCCCCAGCCATAGCCGGGCTCAGAGTGGCTAACAAGTGTAAAAATAGCACAATTTACACAAAATCACAGTCAGTTAATTGAAATACATTCTAAAATCAGTTCAGAATCAAATTAATGGCAACCATTGGGTTAGAGTTCTATGAGGATTACAGAAGGAGAGAGGGGGTCAGACTGTGCCTTGGCCAAAGGCCTGGTGGAACAGCTCTGTCTTGCAGGCCCTGTGGAAAGATGTCAAGTCCCGCAGGGGCCTAGTCTCTTGGGACAGAGCGTTCCACCAGATCGGGGCCACGGCCAAAAAAGCCCTGGCTCTGGTCAGGACAGCCTAACCTCTCTGTGGCTCGGGACCTCCAAGATATTTTTATTTGAAGACCGTAAGGTCCTCCGTGGGACATACCAGGAGAGGCAGTCCCGTAGGATTAGGCCCCCAAAATGGACACTGTCACACTTGACAACAGTAGGCTACTTACGAGACATGTTGTGCAGCAGATAGATATATGTTCTCCCGCAAAAGGGTTGAATTGCCGCCACTGTAACCCCACTCACAGCATCGACTGCCTAAGGCAGTTACCTCATTGTCTACATATAGACGCTTTGCTTTTGGGAATACTGGGCTCTGCTGATAGTCTGAAAAGTGGCAGGGTGAGTGTACAATTTGCAAAAGAGAGCGGCAGGCTGCCAAAGGGGCTGATGAACTCTTCCAGGCAAAAACTGCCCTGACTGCTCCATCCTTCCTAGGGAACCACTAGAGCTCCAGTGGAGCTTCTGTTTCCCTTCTGCTCATTCCTTGTTTCTGCTTTAGAGTCGCAGGCTCCTCAAAGTAGTGGCACATCAAACCTGTCAGGAGCTTTGTATACATAGATTTCACTATGCATACGAATGATGATTAATGAGCAAACAAGCTAAAGGGAAGAAATGGGAAATGAAACAAGCTAAAGGGAAGAAAATTGAGGCAGGCAGCAGAGACCAAGAAGTGAGACGGGAAGTGGTTAATAAGGGAGGGAAGGTGGAGGGTTGAATTTTAAGTGTTGATTTGAACTATGCCAGGATCCTGGGCTGCAGGATACACTGTAAAGCAGGAGCGGGCAAAATGGTGCCCTCCAGAGGTTGGTGGAGCCAGTGTGGTGTAGTGGTTAGAGCATGGGTAGGCAAACTAAGGCCTGGGGGCTGGATGCGGCCCAATCGCCTTCTAAATCCGGCCCGCGGACGGTCCGGAAATCAGCATGTTTTTACATGAGTAGAATGTGTGCTTTTATTTAAAATGCATCTCTGGGTTATTTGTGGGGCACAGGAATTTGTTCATTATCTTTTTCAAACTATAGTCCAGCCCCCCACAAGGTCTGAGTGGACCAGCCCCCTGCTGAAAAAGTTTGCTGACCCCTGGGTTAGAGTGTCAGACTAGAACCGGGGAGATCAGGGTTCAAATCCCCAATCAATGTCATAGAATTGTAGAGCTGGAAGAGTCATCTGGCCCAACTTTTGCGCAATCCAGAAATCACAGCTTAATGATCCCAGGCAGATGGCCATCCAACCTCTGTTTTAAAACTTCCAAGGTCACTGGGTGACCTTGGACCAGTCCGTGCTTCTCAGCCTAACTTAAGTCACACGATTGTTGTGGGGTTTATATGAGGAGTAGGTAGAAAATCCCAAACAAACAAACAAACAAACAAACAAATAAACAGTCCCAGCCACCAAGGCCAGTGGTCCAAGACAGTGGAAGGTGTGGGAATGTTTAGGGATGCGGGGGAGGATATATTGTCTAAGATATCCTATTCCAACTTGTCTTTACAAGTTCAACAAAATCAGCAGAGTTAACAATCCCCTTTTTAAACACACGCACAGCAGATAGCTTGCTCAGACTCGTTAGAGTCTCTGTAAATATTTCCTGGTATTTCCCCCATTTAATCCCTCCTAAAATAAGACGCTACACAGTCTTCTGTAAAGTATAAAACGTTTACTCACAAGTAATCATCTGTTCACAGAAAGGTTCCCAGAAGGCAGACTTAAAAGGCTATAACATAGTTTAAATGTGGTGACTATATCCTTGTGAGAGAAAGCCCCCTTTTTCTTCTCTTGGCCTGGAGCCAAAGGTGCATCTTACTTCAGGAGAGGCCACACCCATCTCAAGTTACACATAGGAAGTTTCGTCTCAGTCCTGGAAAGCAGGAAGTTCCGGCTGGAGGACTGAGACAACCTTCATGTCTACTCTAGCAATGTTGTGTTTGACTGCACCCGATTCTTACATCCCACAGAAGGTGTATCTCTAACTTCTGGGCATCATGGAACCATAGAATTGTAGAGTTGGACACGACCCCAAGGATCATCTAGTCCAATCCCCTGCAATGCAGGAATAATCTGGGCTTCCTGTGCTGCAAATGACATTGCATGTTTGATGTCGTCTAGAAATAATGAGTAATGATGGGGTGTTTTTTGTTTTTTAAATACACCACCTTTCTAAAGTGGTTTACATCAAACTGACAAAAACATTCCAACAGAAAAGAAAAAAATACTCATAATCCGCCCACGCTCTTTTCAGTAGTTAAAACACAAATATCAAAATATTAGCTCAGAAAATTGCTTAAGACAATTCATTAAACATATAATATACAATTAATGCATTTATCTGAACCAAGCAATATTTGAATTCTTTTAACAGCAGAATTTCAAAAGCAGAAATAGCAAATAAAATAAAACAAAACACAACAGGTCAAGAAATACTCGGATAATATGGATTACCAGGGGATTGATAATCCTTAACAAATCCACAGACCTAAAATGCAACACAGCCACTAAGTCTAAAAATTCTAAAAGGCAAATTGCTAATTTAAGCATCCCACTCAGAAGTGTCATTCATACTGGTTAAATGTGTCATCTTGTTCTTCCTGAAACTGTTACCAGCTGGGACAGGGACTATCTAGTGGCTCAATGGCTCTCTATAATCATGTTGGACAGTAAAATGCAGTCAAGTAGTGAACTCAGCTCGTTGGTTGCCCTACATTTGTGTGCAGTCAACACCTCAATTATATGACTTGGCAATTGACAGCACTTACTCTCTGGCAGCCCAATAAAAGCAGGCCAGGCTATTGAAGATAAGACCTCGAGTATTGACAAGGATTGGAACAATCTCTGGGAAGAAAAACAAATAGCTTTTTATTACCATTTGGACAAACATGATGGGGAGTTCGGGTTGGAAGCCAGAGAGATTCATTCAAGTGCAGTTATTTTCAGCGCAGGCTGAACAGTTTTGTAAGACTAGAGGGAGATCTGGTGTGCTTAAAGTTAGGTGTTTTGCCATTTCTCTGACCAAAGTCTACCTCTCCTAAACTGCTATTATTATTATTATTATTAGTAGTAGTAGTAGTAGTAAAGGACCCCTGGACGGTTAAGTCCAGTCAAAGGCAACTTTGGGGTTGCGGCATTCATCCCGCTTCAGGCAGAGGGAGATTTGTCCACAGACAGATTTCCAGGTCATGTGGCCAGCAGGACTAAACCGCTTCTGGTGCAATGGGACACTGTGATGGAAACCAGAGTGCACGGAAATGCCGTTCACCTTCCCACCGGAGCGGTACCTATTTATCTACTTGCACTGGTGTGCTTTTGAATTGCTAGGTTGGCAGAAGCTGGGA